CTTTGGTTTCTTCAGAGTTCTTAAAGCATTAGGTAAATATCTAGGACATGCTAGCAAGGACACTTTTCACAACTCTTAATTTGTTTCTTCACTTATGGAAAATTTTTCATTTGACAGCTTGAATTAACTGGCAAAATGAAAAGACATTATATACTTTATATATATATATATATTTATAATTTAGACTATATATTTTTACAACATAATTTATATTTTATTATACTCGTAGATAGGTTTTAAATGTTTAGATACAGCATCTAAGCAACATTGATAACTATTGTTCTCTGCCTTTTAGAGTCCAAAAAGAAAATGAGAGTGCTAATAATATAACTTTAATTTTTTTGTTTGTTTTGTAAATAAATTAATTGCTGCCTTTGATTTGCTTTCCTTAAACACAGTAGGCCACTTAGTGTTCTGTGTGATTTTCTTTTGGCTAGCTTGTTTTACTGTGAACAGGGGTGTGTGCGCATGGAGTTGGTGGGGAGTTTTATGTAATTAAATAACAAAACAAAAGCAAACCCACAAAACCAAGTTCAGCCTTATATTGACACTAATATAATCCACTAGGGATTCAAGAGGGAATTTATCTTTCTGTTCTTTACAAATGTCAGAATTGTTACATTTGTACTAGGAGCCCAGTAATGCTAGTCTATATTATTTATTTCCTTCCTTTCATAAATTTGGTGGTACTAGATGGAAAGAATCTAAATGCTTTATGTATTAAATTATATTGACCAATTAAAAAGAAAAGTTTCATAATGTTGAAAGCATTTTTGCATAGTTTTGTTAGTTTTGAAGAATGTTATTTGCTGTTATACAGGTTATGTGTTGTGGAATGGATGTAACATTAATTGTTTGGTGTAGTTTTTATTGAGGGTATTTCAGTGTAAGTGCTGCTGAAATAACTTTTAATAGCTGAAAAAGCCTTGGCCAAAATTACTTATTAATTTTGCTTGAGATTTGTAAGATGCTGTGAAAGGTTAAACCCCAACTTTTTTCAACAGAAAATTGATCAGTGTTAAAATGTCAGCTGTCTAGGTACAGCAGCATACTGGCATGCAAACACTGCTCTCTCATTCCAGGTTCCCCAGCTGCATAGCATTTGCATTGTGACATTTTCTAACAACATTAGCACCATAGCTGATGTTTCAAAATCAATCACTTTCTGTTGGTATGAGACAGCCTGCAGCTTAGTTGGATGTTGAAGGTGTTTCTCTGGAGCACAATTAACTGGAATTCTTTGGTTCTGGCAATATCTGCATCTCATGACTTCCTAGTGAAAAATCATACAGACCAGGTAATGTAATTCTGAAATGTCTTTTAAAAAAACAAATAAAAACAAACCAAAGTGATATTAAGGCTTTCTGAGCAGTACAAAACCTTTCTAGACATTGAGTCTGAAATTTAATCTAAAGCAAGTATTTTGGTGCCTGGTGCATTATAATGCCTTACTGGAGAATTCATATCCTTTAGTACTACATTTTAGAGAATAGACAGCTAAAATTCAGATTTTGTTTTAAAGTTTTAGGAGTTTCTATTTATCAACAATTCTTCTAATCAGAGAGAAATGCATTAAGAAGTCTTTTGCAACTATTACTTCCTCTGTGTAGGCTGAATAAAATGTACATGAAAACTATTTTTTGTTTCTGAAGGCAGATTGCAGTAGCAATGAGATTTTACATGAATGATTTATGTTTCAAATGTCATTGTATGGTAGAGTTTCCATTTTTATATAAAGGCATGGCCTTATATATGGACTCATGGACTCTGTGTAAATGGAACTGAGACTTAAAGGCCTGCTATTTATTGTAATCCTGCTGGATATTTGCAGGATTCATGTTCAAGACCAGGCTGGATGGGGCTCTGGTCTAGTGAAAGGTGTCACTGCCCATGACAGAGTTTGGAGCTAGATGAGCTTTAAGGCCCCTTCCAGCCCAAACTGTCCTGTGATTTTGTGTTGATCCCATAAAGATGTGAAGAGTACTCTGAGATGTTGTGTATCTATAACAATATAGTGAATATTATGACACAGTCTTTAAGTGAGTAGAACTAAAATGTTTCTACAGTATTATTTTTAACCTGTTCCATATCTTAAAATGGGAATGAGGAGAGAAAAGCTTCCCAAGACTTTTGTAGTAGAATCATCTTTTAGAAAAATGCTATTGAAAAAGCTCATAAAATTCTTAGCAGTTTAAAAATACCAGCAATTATTTTCCATGACCTTTGTAAAAGCTGCTTTATTTACAATGTCGCTCTGTTAATAAAAATACAGGGTTATAAGAAGAAACTTTATACTTGAAAATATTACCTTTTTTTTTATAATCCAGGTGAGTTGAAGGAAAATGTGCTCTTTCAATTAACATTGTTCAAATATTTTGATGAGGTCTCCTCAACTATGTTTAAAGAAAGCTACCCTTAGTGGCAGACAGAAAAAAAACAGTGTCATGAGGATCCCACATGTTCCTGACATTAAAAATTTGAAATAACTGGACAAAGTGCTTGTTCTAGGATTTGGAAAGTGTTAGATCTTATTTTCACAACACCATAGTCTGTCGAGAACATTACCTTGTCCAGGCAACATCATAGAGGAAAATGGGGAGTAAATTTGCTACTAAGATTTGTAGATTCGGAAACAAATTGGCCGTTTGGATTCTCCTTTGACTTCAAGGGATTGTTTTTTGCCCTTTAATGGTGGATCCTGAAACTGCCAAGCATCGACCCCCTCTTCCATATTCTTTCATTGCAGCACCAAGAAAAATCTTGGCTAAAGATCACTAGGTCTTGGTTTTGCCTCAATTTACTACAAGTCTCCTAAATTAGTTTTAAACCAGTGTTTCTGTTAATTGATAGTGCTTACACGAAAATGTAGTTTATTGTGTATATAACTTTGATAGTAATGTTGATACTTTTTCAGGTTTTGAATTTTTTTTTGTTGTTTACATCATTATCCATCCAGACTTTCATAAACATCCTGTCATAAATGCATACTTTTTTCCTGATTAAATGCAATATTTCAGAGTAATGTTGATACTTTTTCAGGTTTTGAATTTTTTTTTTTGTTGCTTACATTGTTATCCAGTCAGATTTTCATAAACATCCTGTCATAAATGCATTCTTTTTTCCTGATTAAATGCAATATTTCAAGTACTGTGTAGAGAAAAATACAGTATGCTTGTCTTATGTAAAATTATACTTATGTGTTTGAGTGTGCACACAAATACTGTTTTCTGTATCTCTTAAGTTTTAATAATGGAGAAAGAAACATATTTCAGGTGGCTCTGTCTTTATTCTGATAACTTTGGTTGGTGTTTAGAAGGCTTCCAAGACAATGTTAGAGGGTTACTTTGTAAGGGATATGAATATAGGACAATACTTATATTGACCTTTAAAACTCCATGGTAGGAAAATGAGGGGTTGTTTTTTGAGTAAAAGAAACTTCTGATTAAATGCAGAGTTTACTGAAGTTTTAGTGTATCATATGCTTCTCAGTCTAGCTCCATAAAACAAGGGAATGTGGATCATGCTGTAATTGCCAAGAGAGCTGCCTTCTTTAAAAGGAGGATGAATGGGTTGCTGAGAGTGCCAGGTTAATGTTTTCTGCAGCAGTCAGATCGGATGAGTACATTTGGGATACCTGGGGCTGAGAAGAGCCACGTTGGAAGACAGTGACTGCTGCAGTCCAGGGCTCCCCCAACAGCAGAAATGTCCCCATCCCCTTCCCTGCTGTCCCTGTGTTCAGTGGCTTCAGCCTTCTCTTGGCAGACAGCTGCCTCGAACCTCCTCTCATTTACTTGGATGGTGTTGCAAGCTTGAGGTACAAGTCTCAAATTTGATCCCAGTCTGACTTCTGCCCAGCAGCAAAGGTTGTGAAATGGATGTAACAAATGGGTGGTCTTTCAGGAATTACATATTTTTAATTAGTATGTATATTTAGTAATAATTCAAATACTGCATGCTATTTTTGAGTTACCTGTAAAATACTTAAGACCTTGATGTTTATTTATACAGTGTGAAATATCTTGAAATTTCTACTTTGTTCAAAGGTAGTTTTCAAAATACAGCCTAAGAATGATGGCAGCCACAGAATCCTGAAATGCATGATTCTGTTCAGTATTTTGAGTTAGATGTATGTCAGAATTATCCCAAGTGCTATGTTTGTAGCTTTTATAGGTGAAGGTAGCCACCTTATGTACAGATACTAAGCAAATCTAATACATGTATATTTCCAGTTATTTTAATACGCCAATTAACTAATATTCTATAACACATGTCAGAATTATCCCAAGTGCTATGTTTGTAGCTTTTATAGGTGAAGGTAGCCATCTTATGTACAGATACTAAGCAAATCTCTTACATGTATTTTTACAGTTATTTTAGTTAATACACCAATAAACTAATATTCTACAACAGTGTGATATGTATTTGTTGATCTATAGATTGCTAGGTTTATTTTTGCAGAAAAACCTGGAGTGTTTTAACAAGTCATATAAGTTAGAAGGAAAAAAAATATTCTAGAACAATCAAATTGTAACATAGGTTATGCCCATTTAAAAGGAAACAGTGTACACAGAGGCATGTTTATATAAAAGTCACATAGTGCTAAATACTATGTAAATTGCTTTTATATAAATGTAAAGTATACATAATATGGCTTCATGCATTATATTTACATTGGTAGAAGGCTGTCTAGGCACAAGATCACTTCTAGTTTAAATATGTTTGGAAAATGTATACCACTTTCAATGATGTCTTGCTATTTAATTCTAATAGCGTTGTAATTTTAGAAAAATGATTTTTCACTGTTTGTTAACTTGTAAATATTTCTCCTAGCGTCAGATTCTGGAAGGCTGTGCTTAGTTATTTTTAATAGGAGAAATTATGTCTTACCCAATGTTGTATAAAGTTATAACAATGCAGTGTGACTTCTAACATAATTCTGGCCTTGTGCTATCAATTTTTTTAAGCTAATATTTTATTAATTGTACTCATTTTTCTTCCAGCTGACAGCACGATCACTACCTTCCATACAGTCTGATGAGAGACTTCAACCTCTGCTTAATCATCTCAGGTAGTATAAAGTGAAAGCATGACTATATTCCTTCATATAGATTAAAGTAATTGTTCTGGTAAAATGCCTTAGGTACAAGTTTTTTACAGACCTCATCTGTGTGATTGGCTTTGAAAAAAACCCCAAAAGTAATTCTTTGACTTAACAAAAGCTTTATAAATTGCATGGAACATAGTTTATAGAACCAGTGTTGCTTTTAAGTAACAAAAAATAGCTGTAGCTTCTATAAAGTTTTTGTGGTTTTTGTTTTTAATAGCAAGTGCAAAGTTGTTGAGCTCCTTTATAAACAAAACAGTTTCCACATTACAATGCTCAGAGCATAGGCCTTCCTTGTTGCAAATATTCCATACTCCCTGCTTGTTTTAGAAGATTTTGCTATCATTAATGAACGGAATACTAATTTGATCTTTTAATGGACCTATGTAGATTGCTGAAAGTGTGAACCATTAGAGTAAATAGTTTGCCTCTCTCTTAGTTGTGTGTGTGTATAGATAAATATATATGTGTATATATATGTTTATAAATTTCTACTTTAGTTGAAGAAGAGTGTAAGTAGAGAACTCTGGTCTCTTTCTTAGGTATATATATGATTGCTTTTTACCACTTTATATGGTAGACTTCTCTTACTATGGTCACATGCAGGAGGACAATGTCCATACAAGTAGAGCAAGCTGGTTTAGAATCATGGAATAATTGAGCTTGAAGTGAACCTCTGGAGATGATTTAATCTAGCCCGTGTTCAATGCAGATCTGGTTAGATTAGGTTGCTCATGTGTTTCTTTTTGCAGAATTTTTAATGTCTCTAATAATAGAAATGTACTTAAATATGGGATGTCAGCAATGAAAGCTGTTTCTGAGCACATACATCTTAGCATTAAGATCATTGAAATGATGTTGGATGAATTAGAAATGGAAGTGTTGAGGTTCCATCATGGCAGCACTGCATGGGGAATTGGGATGCAGATCTAGTTTGCTGACTCATCCTCCTTATTTTCTATGGTGCTCTACTGCTTGAGCTACCTGTTCCCAAACCCTGACATTTTATTTTGATTTTTAAAGTCTCATAATTTTTATTATATAGGAAGAGTTTTATGTTTTGTTGCTTTTAGTGTAAGTCAGAGTAGGAAAAATAGCTTTCATTGTATCTCTGCTTATTTACATATGATTGAACTTCCTTCAAGACCAATGAATGAAAACAAGGATTGCAGTGTTATTGTTACTGTTACGTAGCTGGGAGTACTTCTGAATGCCAATAACCTTCCATGATTTTATTGCCCCACATCTTACTAGGGCTGTAAAAATATGCCTCAGTGGTATACCTTTCTTAATTTGAAGATCAAGAGCACTTAAGTTAGGTTTTTATAAACTGTGCTCTCTAGGAGTAATTACTGAGAAATTGAAAATTTCTTTTGATGTATGCTCTGTTCTATGTCAGTGGAACAGTCCTTCAGTATCACGATCAGTCCTGTCTGTGCTTTTTTTTTTAATATGGAAAAATTAAAGGTTCCAAAAGAAGGTACTTCAAGAGAGATGCCATACCCCACATTTATGCCAACTGTACAATTTTTGTACATTCTTATATTACCTTGGGTATGTATGTTATACAGCTGGTACACTATTTTGCTTTTTTTGAAAATGGAGGGACTGTTTGCAGTTTATTTTGTCACCAACTGAAAAAAAAAAGATACAAATGCATCTAAGTTGCCTGTTGTAAGTTCCTTTAAAATGAACAAAATATATCAGACCTTGCAACTTGAAAAGCAACCTCTGGAAGTGAACAGACAGCTGACCAAAGGGAATTTACATGCTTCTATGGTAAAGTTAGTAATAATAGACACACATGGTTTAAATACTTTAAATTATTTATCCCTTTTGTGTGATGAAAAAAATCTATTAAGTACAGTAATCCCTAGTGGAGTACCTAGGGTCCTATCTTCTTTAGCTTCTACTTTATTGCCTTGGGTGATGGAATTCAGTGTGTACTTGGCAAGACTCACATGATATAAAAGTGGGGAGAATGGTTTGCACCAGATGGGTGCTCTGCCTTTCAGATGGACTTGGCAGGAGGGAGAAATGGGCTGCCAAGAATCCTATGAAGTTCAGCAAAGGGAAGTAGCAAGGCATGCAGTTGAAGAGGATTATCCCATGTGCCAGTGTAAGTTGAGGGTTGAATGGCTGTGAATGCAGAAGAGGACCTTGGGGTCCTGTTGGACAGCAAAAGGGAGAAATGGGCTGCCAAGAATCCTATGAAGTTCAGCAAAGGGAAGTAGCAAGGCATGCAGTTGAAGAGGATAACCCCATGAGCCAGTATAAGTTGAGGGTTGAAGGTTGAGGTTGAATTCTGCTGTGAATGCAGAAGAAGACCTTGGGGTCCTGTTGGACAGCAAGCTGTGAGCCACCAGAGCACCTGTGAAGCAAAGACAGCTGACAGTCCTCTTGCATGGCATTAGGAAGGGCACTTCCAGCAGGTCAGGGGAGATGATCCTTCCACTGTACTCAGCACTGCTGAGTCCACTTCTGCAGGCCTGTGTCCAGTCCTGGGCTCCCCAATATGTACAAGAAGACACTGAGAAAACTGAGGTTGTTCAGCCTGGAGGAGATAGATTTCAGGAAGTGTGTGTGCATTTTATTCAGTGCATGTAAATATGTGTCTGATAGGGAGGAGTAAAAAAAGAATGAGCGTTTTCTCAGTGGTAACCAGTGATAGGCCAGAAGGCAATGGGCAGAGACTGATATGCAGGAAGTTCTGCCTAAACATAAGAAAACACTTTTTTTTTTTTTTTTTTTTTTGTACAGAATGGTTGGACATTGGAACAGGTTGCGGGTTTTCTTCCTAAAAAAAAAAAAACCTTTTTTTTTTTTTTTTTTTTTTTTTTTTACAGAATGGTTGGACATTGGAACAGGTTACTCAGAAGGTTATGGGTCTGGGTCTTGAATATGCTCAAAACCCAGCTTTATGAGCTCCTAAGCAACCTGCTGTAGCAAACACCATTTTGAGCAGGGGTTGGACTAGATGATCTTCAGTGGTCTCTCTGATCTAAGTCCTATATAATCCTTCACCTCTCCTTTCAGATGAAGGGAAAGAGGGTTTCTTTGCTATGTTTGCTCTCATGTTGGTTTTATGAGTCCTAACTACTTGGTTTCTTATTTTTGCCTGATATAAAATATCTGCAGCCTAAAATTGATAAATTATTTTCTTTCAAAATTTCTAAACTTAAAATTTTTTTGGAACTGCTTTAAATGATGACATACTGTTTGCTTTCTTTTTCAGCCATTCTTATGTTGGTCCAGATTACAGCGTCCAAAAGAACACCGGAAAAATTTCTCTAGATCAAATTGATGCTGTAAGTTATGTTTCTGGAGTCATATAGGATGTTGAAGTATAACTTTTTAAATTCAAGTACTCTGTACAAACTAAATATAAAGCCCTTATCTTTGTTTTATTCATGCTTGATTTGTAACTGTTGAAGGAAATTGCGTTGAAGTTCAAGACTGAGCAGAATTAGCTGAAAATGCTTCCTAATCAGGATTCAGACTCAGAGTGAAGTTGCAGTGAAGTGCTTAATTTGCTGTTCAGTTTTGTGTACTTCCACAAATACTTAATTATAAGCAGAATACAACAAAATTTTCTTATTTGACAGTCTTGCAAACCGTGAAGTTTATGATTACCGTGTTGCAGTATTAGTCTTTCTAATGCTGGTTTTTGATTTTTGATTTACAGGCAGAGTTTTAAAAACAAGGAAGTAAATAAAATGGAAGTAAAACATGGGATGTAAAACACCATGCATAAATTGTGCAGAATCCATTCAAAACATAACTTCTTCATCTGAATTTTAAGAACCATGTGTTTTCAACATCGGTCTTAACCATGACAGTGTTTCTCTGGCAGTGAATTAAAATCCCCTCCCTTTCCCCAACCCCCAGAACTCTATAAAAGGTCATTTTGCCATTCCAGATGCTAAAAAAAAGCAGAGTTAAGAAATACTGTAATGCAAGTGTGGGTATATTTTTAACTTTGTAGCTGGAGACAGTCTGATAGTACCAGCTGTATTATTCTGTCCTCTGGATTTTGTTCTTGAGGTGGTTGTTGAATTGGAGTGAATTCATAACACAGGTGAGTTTATGCACTCACCTGTGTTATGAATTCACTCCCAAGGCTCTCTGTACATTCCTGTCTTTTCTTCCAGCCATTGGCATTTTCAAATGGAGCTCATTAATAATCATAGTAAACACATATCCTACAAACTAAATGATCAGTATGCCTTAAACAGAAATTCTTGTGTTGCCAGCTCTCTGTGAAGTCGTTCCCTCTGTGCATGCGGCAGCTGCACAGAGCCCTGCGTGACAGCCACCACCTCCGGCACGGCGGCCGCATGCAGTACGGGCTCTTCCTGAAAGGCATCGGCCTGACGCTGGAACAGGCACTGGAGTTCTGGAAGAAAGAATTTATCAGAGGAAAAGTGGATGCAGATAAGGTAATGGAAGAAAATGTAAATGTGGGGATGTAGTTAATGTGTATGTTGTGCTACAGATTTGAATGGATGGTTTTTGAAGTAGAAAACTGGGCAAAAGGTACACCTTTTTAAAGGTGGGAGGATTTTTTTTGTTCTCTTTGCTTATAGTTTTAGTTATTTTGTTGGGTATTGACCTGAGCTATGGGTAAAAAAGGCAGACCATAAAGAGGCTGTTGATAAGTGTGGATTAGAAAAACCTTCCCAGTAAATTACTAGGAAACCAGTGTCCTTTATGGAATACAGGTACTATGTAACTAAATTAATTCACCAAGCAGATCAGTGACCAAACCCTGTACTGTCTGAAAGACGAGGTTAGACTTTTTGTTGTTTATTAAAAAAAAATAAAAAATATTGGGCAGCTCTGTGTGAAGTAGTCTTGCCGTAGCAAATTTACAGTTGAAGAATGAAAGAAGAAACTGGGGACAGAAGACAGAAGAATATGTTCAAGGAAATAGTGAAAAAAATACTATTCAGTGCAATGGGAGGTATTACTGACATATCAGTCACTGGCCTCACTCTTGTCAATATTTTTGGGAGTATTGTGGGTGAGGAAGATGTAGTGTCTAATTTTTGGAGAATTGTAGACTGCTTCTTACCTTGAACAATTCAGGTACCATGAAGCAGGCTTCCTCCCCCATCCTTTTCTGCCTGGCCTGTGGTATGTGTTAGAGCAGAGTTTCAGAATTTATATCAGTTTTGTGTGGTGTATGATACTTTGTATTTAATATTGTGAGATCTCAGCCTTCCAGAGTACATGAAGCATTTTTGGAGCGCTTGGTAGACAATCTTTCCTTACCTTAGCTTCTCTGGGCCATGGCTATTTATAGAAGATACAGGGCAAAAAATAAAGTAGGCTAAAATGAATTATGGTACATATGCCTCTTTCAAGATCCAGAAGATAGATCAACTTGTCTGCAAATTTTTTGGGAAGGAAAAAGGGATTTAAAGGTATGATTTGAATGAGTATCTAAACCTCTCTTTATCTAGTTCCTTAAATGTAATTTGATTTAAAAGGAGATTGGTAGTTTCTTAAAAAAACCTTCAAAATGCATTTTTTTACAAAGGTCTCAAGAAGAAGATCTCAGAAGAATGGCAGTAAATGTTGCAATGGAATGCCAATTAATTACTAGTTGTATTGGGTTTATGTCCCGGTTTGGGTAGTGCATGGGGCTGCAGGGTTAGGTTATGTGAGAAGCTGCCAGAAGCTTCCCCCATTGTCTGACAGGACTAAAACCAGCTGGCTCCAAGAGGGAGCCCTGTGGCCAGGGCTGAGCCCATCAGCAGTGGTGGGTGGTACTTCTGGGATAACATAGGGGGTAAAAATCCCCTTCCCAATAACAGCTTCAGCCAGTGAGAGGAGAGTGAGAATACATGAGAGGAACGGCTCTGCAGACACCAAGGTCAGTGCAGAAGGAGGGGCAGGAGGTGCTCCAGGTGCCAGAGCTGAGATTCCGCTGCAGCCCCTGGTGCAGCCCATGGAGAGGCAGCTGTGCCCCTGCAGCCCATGGAGGACCACGGTGGAAAAGAGATCCACCTGCCTCCCATGGAGGACCTCATGCCCCAGAGCAGAGAGGGATGCCTGGAGCAGGCTGTGACCCAGTAGGAAGCTATGCTGGAGCAGGCTCCTGGCAGGACCTGTGGCCCCATGGAGAGAGGAGCCCACTCTGGAGCAGGATTTGTGACCCCATAGGGACTCACACTGGAGCAGGCTGTTCCTGAAGGACTGCACACCATGGAAGGGACTGTGCTGGAGCAGTTTGTGAACAACTGCAGCATTTGGGAAGATTCAACATTGGAGAGGTTCATGCAGAACTATTTCCTGTGGGAAGGATGCCACTCTGGAGCAGGGGAATAGTGTAAGGAGTCCTCCCCTGAGAAGGAGGGAGTGGCAGAAATGTGTGGTGAGCTCCCATTTCCTGTCAGCCTGCACCACTTGTGGGATGAGGTAGAAGAACAAGGAGTAAAGTCAACCCTGGCAGACAGAAGGGATGAGGGGAAGGTGTTCTAAGATTTGTTTTTATTTCTCATTTCCCTCCTCTGATTTGATTGGTAATAAATTACTTTCCCCAAGTGAAGTCTGTTTTGCCTGTCACAGTAACTGATGAGTGATCCCTCTGTATGCTTGAGTCCTTAATTTTATTTTCTCTCCCCTGTCCACCTGAGGAAGAGAGTGGACACCTGACATCCAGCCAGAATTAAACCACAACACTACCTGAATTCAGGAAAATCCAGAATTTTCAGTTGACATATCCTGTGCTTAAAGGAATTGAAAGAATTAAAACAAATTATGAGAAATTATAACAGTAGCATAAAAATATTGGGAGAACACATCTGATTCCATCTACTTGTGCTTTGGCCAAATGTGTACATGCACACGTATGAAGACATGTGTGCACCTTGGATCCTGTTTTCAGTCACAAGGTTATGACTTTATATTATAGCATCTCTGTTGATGGGCCCTAGAAATGAAGTTTTATGATCCTGTGTTTAGCTTCAAGAGTTAGAAGGCTTATTGTGAATCAAACAAGGGGTTAAGTTACTGCATTTTTCACAAGCAAGCTGCAACTTCCATGTAATTTTGGTCCTTTTCAAGTTCTAGATAACTAGCTTCAATCTTGAATGAAAGAGAAAACTAATTTTTCATGTCTCTAACTGAGGTTGGTGGCCCATGATTTTTCACAGTAGTGTCATACAGTGTTTAATGTCCTGAAAAAAGGAAGATTAATGCAATTCTTATAACTATTTTCTTTTGACATTTTTATTTTCTGGCATTCGTGCCATTGTTCCTTTCCTGTAGAGTGGAGATAATTAATTACACTGTTTCATTTTACTGGAGCATTGTGAAGATATATGCATGATACTTTGTAAAGATTAAGGTTAATGTTGTATTACCTATTGACTCTTATATTGCAAAGAGGGAGTGTTCAATTTGCTGGAAATGGTTATGATTTAAAAATTGTTTGTTCGTTTTTGTCTTTTAATTGCTGCAACATCTATGGCAATTTTAAATCCTAAGAATTCTTGGCACACACCTTCAGTCTTCAGCAGGAAGGGAGTTACCATGAACATGTTAGCAAACTGGCTAAGCATGGTCTCCGGGCTGAGCATAGGCATATGGACCGTTTGCACAAAAAGAACTCCTCCTATGCTCTGAATAACTGATTCAGGCATACCTCAGGCCTCATTGATAAAAACACTGTAGAAAAGCTTTTAAGAAGTTATATTTTACCTTTAGAGAGGAATCCATGAAGTATGAATGAAGTGTGAAATCATGTAGTCAGTGGGGAAAAAAAATCAAGTGACACCTACAAACAAAGAAGGTAGAGATGCTCTGTTGGTGGAGTGAGGGGGGGAATGGTCATCTATTGGCATTTCACAACAGGGACAAATGCAGAATGCAAAATAAAACATTTTCTAATTTAGGCACTGCAATTAAAATTACTCTGCAGATTGCTAGGTTAAGAGTGCCTAAATGGTAAATTGTTGTTTTTCAGATGAAAGGATCAGCTGCCTAATAGGAGTAGATGCATTACTTCTGAGTGAATGGTTGTGCCAGTTGGCTTCATAACTTCAGTGTTATTTTAAGACTGGCTTTTTTTCCTATAAATTGAAATCTTATTCTAAACAGATACTGATTCTCATAGATTCTTTCACAATTCTTGCTTAAAAAGTAACTCCTGACCTTGTCCAAAAAAATAACCACCAAAAAAATGGTGGGGGGATGTAACTCCACTATGATTTAAAAATATATAAAGGTAGTAAGATGACAAGACAAATTAAATAATTAGAGTGCAGATGTAAAAATGCTTTCGTAATTGAAAATAAAGTCATCTAACAGATATCATTGTAGTGGGGTTTGTTGCTGTTTTCAGATATTTTTGTATGATTAACCTGTGAATGTGAAAAGGAGGAGTTGAAAGATAATGCAGTATTTAGAACAAAGGAAAGAAAGAATGCAGAATCAGTTTCTTTAAGGTGTTATTCACTTAGTTCTTTAGTTAATAGCCTGGATCTGAGATTTTTATACAGATGGAAGGCTTTAAGGCAGCTCCTCACTTTTTGCTTCCCATTGCTACATATACTTCTGATGCATGTTCTGTTTTCTTAGCAGTTGTTGGTGTATGGTGGTACTAAATGCTCTCTTCTGGTACTCTGATTTTTTGCCTCATTGTGCAGAAGTAATAGTTACTAGTTATACACTCTTTTGTTGAAAAGTAATTCCTTTGGTGCTGCAGTTTGATATTGCACTAATTTTAATTATTGTTGCATATGCTACTGAAATGCATCTTAAAATCGTGCAAGAGCATGGGGGTTTATTTATTTAATAAATCTTGAAATGAAAGTATTACTATATTTCCAAAACTATCCTTTGTGACAGAACAGCTTTCTTGTCTTTGTGACTACTTATGGCTCTTTAGCTCCTGTGTTCCAGGGCTCTTTCTTTAGAGATGTGGTGGCACTCAGGCTGGCAAAGTCTTTTATTCATCCTGAGTCAGTCTTCCAGATTGACTTACTGTTGTTTCATAGGGCGTGTTTTTCTGTCACAGTTGATTGCAAATGGTGAGGAGCAGGTTGTTCTCTGGTTGTCTGAGGTATGCCTCTTCATCCCTTCTTGCTGGGGAAGGTCCTCATGACAGATGTTTTGCTGGAAGAAGGAGGAGGAAAGTTCACTCAACTTCAACCTTGCTCAGGGTCTGTTATTAAAGAAGCAAACCCTTTGCAATGAAGCTTTTGAACTGGAGTTGATCATTGATATATTCTACATGTTTCTTCCACACGTTGGTCATGTATGAAGCTGAGGACAGATAATATGATGGCTATATACTGCATCAATATGCAAAGAAACATATCTCCTACTCTGTTAAAAAACAATGAAATTTTAGGATGACGATACATCCCAAATGATTGTTCCAGCGACTTTATTTTCCTGGCTCTTTGATTTATTTTCCAAATGATCTTTG